ACATCTATGTCTCTTCTAGAGCTGTAGTGTTTGTAGCTTGTGTGAGGGTACTGACGCAGCCTTCCAGCCCCTAGTGCGGTGGGCAGGAACAGGATCCTTCTCCTTGACCCTTGGCTCATGCTCAGCCAAAAGCATCTGATAAAGGAAAGTTTAAGAATGATGTCACAGGTGATCAGAGTAAAGCTCATCAAAGTTGGATATGTGTGAGTTTTAAAGTTTAATAGTTTGGGTCCCCCCAAAAAAGGCTGAGATCTGATTTTAATCTAGCAATAAAGAGGGGAGGGGGAAACTGAAGTGTCTAGGTTCAGATGACTTCATTTTGAAAACAGCCACAATTTAATTACTTATAGCTGAATGTCTTACATTCAAATTTTTTGCTTTGTAAAACTGCTTCTCTTTATTCTGGATGCCTGAACAAAATGCATTTTCAGTATGGTCAGTGAGATGAAAAATCATTGTTGGGTAAATTCTTCTATTTTAGGCATGTCACAGGTGAGCATTACAGAAAAGGATTTAACCTGTGGAAATTGGTGATCCTCAAATATTGACAGGATAAGAGATTTTGATTTTTGCAGTTGAAACAACTGAGTTGAATGGCCAGGCTTTTGCTGACCTTCTATGCCAATCTGACCTAAATCTTGGAACTGAAGCCCTTAGAAAGGAGAAGTATCATTCTGTTTGATTGTTCACACTTGATTTCTGTTATCACCTATAGAGAAAACTTTTAGCACATGAAAATAAAATATGCTGACCAAGAGGAACTGTATGCAAACCCAGGGCTCTTAGCAGGATTTCAGAGTAAGCTTATTTTCCTTTCTAGTTCAAAGTGTGCCTCAACCTCCATTTGGAAAGGGGGGACCAACACTTGTTTTGTTTCAGTGTTTCCTGTCTCTTCCTTTTTGGGAGAAAAGCAACAGTGTTTTATCCCTTTCCTTGTAGTAAACACCATATGTTGTATGTGTAAGTTAATGAATTTCTGCTCTTACCCAGAGTACCTGCTTACTTGTGTTTCTTCTGAGGGCTGTTTTTGTGTCCTTGTCTTTAGAAGTCTCTGCAAAAGCACAAAGTCTTAGGGCTATCTTCATCCTTAACCTGAACCCGAGTGTGAAAGGCAAGGGTGTAATAAGCATAGGGCTTTGCTTCCTCTTGATGTTTGCAGTAAGCGTTGTTGAATGTTGTCCTGATATTACAAAGGAGCTTTTCTGTTTTACACTCCCAGTCTAGAGAGCAGACGTTTATAACAAATTGATAAAGGTCTTCCATGTGAAGACCTGCACTGAAGCCCCTTGATGTGGTTTGGGCTCTTCCTTTGGTGCTAATAGGCTCAGGCACTTGCTGAGCTTGTGTGTGCATATGAGCTTTTGGCTTTTGTAATGGGTTGTTTTATTTTGGCTTTTTCATTCTGTTTCAGTCAGGTTGCTAGTGTAGAAAACCAAATTTGTTCGGGTGGCCCAACAGCCCTTTCCAGAAATCTTTCTTTCCTGTTATAAAGGTTTTTATTTCTTCCTCCAAGACTAAATAATTGATACTTGAGTTGCTCTGGAAAGGTGTTTTCTCTAAATAATTGATGGACTTGCAGGTAAAAAGGCAGCTTTCAATTGCAGCTACAGGAAGCAGTATGAAGTATTCAGAGGTAGCTGAATGCTGTGAATTTTCATATTTCAAAGTGTGATTTGTTGTGCTTGGTGAGAGCTGTCTATTCTTGCTTTGGGGTATAAAATCAGTTGTGAAACATGTACACTGACATCTAGAAGCTCCTGGAATAGAAAATAAAGGGAATAGCCTCAAGTAACTTGTATCTGAGGGAAGACAGGGGAGATGTTGGACTTTGGTCTCTATGTGACAGCAGACTTCTGACTGCCAGGATATGGAGCTGATTCTCTTGATGCACACTTCTTTCCCCTCACCAATTTGCTATTAACAGGTGCTCAGGGAAGTACTTAATGCTGTGTGGAATATGAATACAGTGGTATAACTATGTATAATAAAAAGTACAAACCAGCAAAACTTTCTACTGTGCCCTGAGTATTTAGTTACTTCAGTTTGCATGGCAAGCCTGTGGAGGAGGGAGGTTCATCTAAAAAATTGTCTAACTTGAAACTAATGGATACGTAATTAGTGAGATTGCTCTCAGAAGACAGCAAGGTGGCTTTCTTTGCAAAGTGTACAGCATGCTGAAGTTGTAGAGGTTATTTTAACAAAGTGGTCATAGCAGTGGTCTGCTTCAGCAAAGCAGAAGGGCAGTTCAACTGAAAGACCTTGTCTGGCTGGGACAAGCGAGAAGGGAAGGTGTTGTTCAGGTCTGTTCTTTCTGAGCTGTTTCTGCTTGTATAACCAGTCATGTTGTCATCCTGTTAAGATGGCAGTTTCCTGTGTTCTCACTTTTTCTCTGGAGGTATTTGTCCTTTTCCTTTTATTAAAGGCACAGATTAGGAAGTGTTTCTGTCTGACATCTGCACCTTCTAATTCTGCTGGTGTTGTTGCTGTTAGCTGTTGCAGTGACTGACGTCTGCATTGGAAGGAGCTCTGATGGTGTCACTTCGTAGTCTGTGCTGCCCTGATCTCTTGGTGACACGGTGTTCTGGGCATACTACTGAGAGGTGGAAAGCCTGTTTTTCCTCCCTCCCCTGGGGCGGATGCAGTCTTTCAGTGAGACAGTCAAGGGTTTCTCATGACCTGCCTGCCTGTTGGGGGAAGGGCTAGAGCTGTTCAAGCATGGGCTTGGTGGCCTGGAGCAGATTTGGTTTTTGTCTTTTTTCTATTCTTTTTCCTTGTGTTGTGGTAGAGTGTGCAGGGTGCTCTGTGTACCTACCTGCTACGTCTCCTGAAACATTAGCTTATTTCTATGTCTTTGGGCTGAAACATCTAGTCTGCTGAAGACCTGGCAGTGGTTAACGTTGTGACATGTTTGGTGAAGGCTGTTTTGTCACATCTCTAATGTTTTCCAGTGTGGTGTTAGAGGTTTACCTGCTAGTTAGTTTTTGAAAGTCGCTGAAGTGTGTTTCTCTACCAGCAAGTCAGCTGATAGGGAGAATAATTGCATGCTGTTGTTGAGCTGCCTACATGGCCACGAAGAGCTATTTTCTCTTGTGGCCGCTGAGCTGGTGATCGTCCTGATTGGCATGTAAAATAAGGTTCTCCTGAGTGTATTGTAAGTGCAATTGGCACATGAGGTGGAGGGCAGTGAAAGAAAGTAAGCTTTCATCTCCCAAACCCAACACACATTAACACCCCATCCCCCCAATAAATAGCATCCTCTGGTGTTGGGAGGGTGCCTTACTTGGAATGGGTGTTCCGGTGGTGTTTGAAAGTGTGAGTCCTGTTACTTGGGGTGGGAGGGAGAAAAAAATGATTTTTTTATAGATTTAGCACTACATCATGTCTCCATAACACGGAGACAGCATTGTTTAACCAGAACAAGTGATGAGTGTAACTAGTATTATACAGATATATGCATTCATTTCTTAGCATGCTCATTGCCAGAGAACGGATTTCAATGCTGGAATTCTTTTTTTTAACTTTGATACCTTGATCTCGTTTAAATTAAAATGTTTATCTTACTATACATACATGCATGCTGAAGATGCATCTTGTGTATCCTTGATTTGTTTGTGTGTGTGGTTTTAGCCTTGGGAGTGCCAAACAGTTCAAGGCAAGGTTTGAAATATTTGTGTTGAGATTTCAAAAAAGTAAGCTTCTCCAATAAGACACTGCAGGTAGTATTCCATAGTTGTCATGGAAAATAATAAGTATTTAACTTAAAAGCTCAAGCAAACTGTTTATTGTATTGAACGGGAATCTCAAAGCTGACAGGTATTTGATTCTGTTCCTTCTTTCAGGGGGATTGTTTTTTTTATACACCCAGGTGCAGATTGCCTTCTAAAAATAATTGTTTCCCTTCTCATAGCTGTGGATGTGGTGGAGATCTTCAGTTCTCGATTCCATGGTGTTTGGTTTTAGACTTTGCTAGGTAGGCTTGGTTTTTGCATGCTGTCTGTGAATGTCTGGGTCAGCATAGTCCTTGAGGTCTCTTTCTTAGCTATGAGGTGTTTGAAGATTCTCTATGCTTGCTTCCCGGTTGCAAGACTTTCACTGACATGGGAGGAAAACATTTACCTCAAGCAAGTGGAGGGTTGAAATGAGCAACTTCTTGTCTGTCATAGGCAGTACTTGTGTGGTCAGTTCTCTAGAATGTGAGCTGTGTGAGCGCTTGTCTTCCCAGCTCCAACTCCTGATTTAGCAGCTTCTCCTCTGTTTTTTTCCTATTTGTGGTGTTTCTGCAGAGGTGGTTTAGTTGCTTTTCTCTGAAAAGCTGTAGTTCTCTGAAATAATTGAGCAAATATTTGCATTGAACCTTATATCTCTTTAATTCTAGTGTATGTGAGGAAGCAAGAAAACAGAACTCTGTAGAGCAGATCAGCTGTTAAATGGTGGGGCTTTTGTTTTTGAGAATAAAACCATCATATGGGGTACTGATTTGGTAAGGAAACATTAATGTATGGAAAAGACAGAGTACAACTGTCTATTGTATTTAGCAGTCTGTAGACACTAAGGTTTTCCAGGTAACCACTTCTAACATCTTGCTAGCTGGGTTGTTGGATGTGCAGTCCACAGTGTGTTTATAGTGTGGCATAAGTCCAAGCAGCTGTCTGCGTGACTGGAATGGTTTGGAAGGAATGAGAAAGATGAATGTCAACTTGTGCAGATCTTCCTAGACTAACTGTATAACTAGTTTCCTTTTTGGGTGTCTCCCCCTGTTACCACATAAGAGTGCTTAAAGAAGATAGGATTATTAAGCAACAAATACTTCAAAGTAGTTTAAGGTCAGCAGAAGTTTCTGAGCTGACTTGGAACATAGCCTCTAAATGGCATATGGTGCAGGTTACTATAGTCCCTTTCTCAACAGAGCATGAGAGATCTGGAAAAAATCCTTTATTCTTAGTCTTTTGCTACCTAATTCTTATCATTTTCTCTTCTGTGCAGACGCTGTGCTATAGAAGATGCACTATTACCGATATTCTAATGCAGAAGTCAGCTGTTGGTACAAATACCTGCTCTTCAGCTACAACATTGTCTTCTGGGTGAGTACAAAACGTAGAGACTGAAATAGTTTAGGCATACCTCATTTTTATTAACTTCCTGCATATTTCTTCAAGAGAACAGGCTGAAATATTAACCTGAAAGCAGGAAGCTGATGTATGGTATGTCCTGGGTGGTTTGGAATTGAAGAAGCCTATCCCATGTGAGAAAGCAATTATTATTGAAAATTATATGGATAATGATTCCTCACAATCTATCCCTTCCTTGTGCCTTCCTCCTATCTTACCTTCTGAGTGAAGATAAAGGACTGAAGCAGATAAAACTGATTGCCTTGGTGTTTTAATGGTGAAAGGAAAGATCTGCTCAAAAGGATTTGTCAAAAGGAAACAGTGTAGTCTTTACTGTTGCTGACAAGGCCTCTGTCTCTTGAATGATGGAGGCCATTAAATTCTTGTTGTTTGGGCAAAGGTTAAAGCTGCCTTAAGTGCACTTAAGTAGTATGTTAAATTGCTTCCCTGTTAAGAGAAGTCTCTTCTAATATCTCCTTTCAGATTATCTTTAATCTCTGTTTTGGGGTGGTGTAGCTATACACCATGCGGAAGAGAAGAAAGGAACTGATCCAGAGATATGTCAACAGCTGGCACTACAACATAGTCAAGATCTTAAATATCATGCTCTGTAGGCAACAAAATTGTCTGATACTGTTTGAAATAGTTAGCTAGGGACTAGCCTGCCTGTAATGTTTTTTTACAGTTGTGAATGCGAAAAGGGTATGAGGGTAATGCGAAAAGGGTATGCAAAAGCAGGTATGTGGTTTTAAATGTGTATGATGGTCAAGATTACTGAGGCACCTAAACTACCCTGGGAAAAGAAGGCAATTCAAAGGTTAGTGCATAGTATTGCATTAGAAATAGTTAACATGTCTCTGAGGGGGAGGTGAAGGTAAGGATGCAGTTCAGATCAACTTGGTAATTCTTTCCAGAACTTGCAGATCAGATATTGGCAATTTGCACCTGAAGTCATGGAAACTGCAGTCATGGAAAGGCATGGGTAGTCACGGAGGAGTACAGATACAGTGACTTGCCTAATGGTAGCAGCTTGGATTAATATTCTGATTCAGAGTTGAAATATTTTTTAGTATGGATAGCTGCTTCTAAAGATGTTTAGATTTTTTCAAAGCCAAAAGGATCAGATAGTAAGAATGAAAGTATGGTATGTGGTTGAATATTCTGTTTTATATCAGTGTTGAAGTTAAGAGTAAAAATTGATTCTCCTGATCCTGACTTGTCTTCTCTAGCATGTCTGCTGATCTCAGACTATATTAATTTTGTTTACTGTGATTCCTTAAATCATGCCAACTTTTTACTACATAAAACTGAAGATATACAGAATTATCACCCTAATATGTATTTAACTTTAATAAAAAAGGGGTTTAGTGTCTGAACATAAATTGTAGGCTACAGCATCTTGTTCATGCTTGTCAATAATGACTTGGTATTTTGTTTAACCCACATGAACTTCTAGTAAACTAGGTTGGCATTTCTGCATATTTTGGCTGCTTTGGCAGTATTTAAGGTAGAAAATAAGCTTTTTTGGAAGCTGTATGTATGAAGGACAGAACTCTGAATTAATTTAGAATCATAGAAGAGTCTAGGTTTGGAACTTCTGGAGGTCATCCGGCCTAACTTTCTGGTGCAAGGAAGACCTGTAGGGTAGGAAATCACTCTTCAAAGAGAAGAGCTGGGAGTCTTGTGAGCTGCTTACTCATCAATTTTCTGCTGTTTTCAACCTAATAAAAGTGCTAGAAGGCCAGGTAGTAGTGAGACTGCAATGTCTGGGTATTGCTGTTGAAAACCACAGAGCTTTTTGCTACTCTCACCACCTCTTGTTTACTAGTGCAATGTTTTAACATAATACTGTAGCATTAAGCTGCAGGGGTGTTTATCCTGTGGATCACAGGGCAGAAAAGATGTGTGTGGCATTTGTACAAACATTTTTCCAGTAAGGGTTAATTGGCTGCAATGTTGCTGTAGTGCAAATTTTCTTAGTTGATGATTTTTTTCCCCCCCCTAGCAACTGAGGCTTCCCATTGTGGCCTCCTCTGTTAAAAAGTATGTGCTCAAAGGCTACCAGCTCTGTGGTTATTTCTCTTCTGTATAATGCAACTGCCATGTAATTATAGTGGAGTGTGGTGCAATGAGAAGAAATATTTCTCAAACTGTTCTGGTTTTCAGAGAAATCACTTTGTAATTGGGTGTATGGTGTTCAGCAGATAGTGTGGGGTATATGTGAGAAATTGACAGACTTTTGTTCATTAATATATTAGGATTGTTCTAGGCCTTTCCTTTCTAGTGAGTGTCTCATGAAGTGGGGTCTGTTGCTGTTTTGGGTGGGTAAACAACCTTTGAAAAACTGAATTTTTTTTCTTTACTGGGAAGACTGTCAAGAATATGCCTCTGCTTTTTTTTTTTACAGAAATTTTGTCTCTTCCTATTGTCTTTTTTTATTCTCTGCAGAGTCATTACATTTCACTTTTTTCAAATTACTTTTTTGCTGTGTTCTCTTGAACTTAATGATGAAGATCTAATGATTTTTTTCCTTAAAGAATAATTTTTAAATAAGATAGGCAGAAAAATTGAGGAGATCTTGAAATACAGCTTGTGTGTTCCAGCTAATCTGTTGGCTGGAGGAATTTGGTTTTCTGAACAGATACTGGTAGTCTTGGTAGCTTGTTTAGTGAATGGTCTGAGGCTTCTGCTGGGAAGTTATCAGGCTGACCTAGTAAGTTATGTGTGACTACAGCTCTTGATAAGAGTTGGTTGTGGAACAGGTTATATAAATGTTGAGTGGAAGGGTACATGCTCCTATAGGCTATGCATGAATTATTTAGCTGACACAATGATTCAGGAGCCTATGACACCTGTCTGGCTGGGAAGACTAGTCTAGCAATCTCTTTAATTGGACAAATCCATTGTTTGTAGAACAGGAGTCCAGAGGGTGGCCATGAAGCTGATCAGAGGGCTGGAGCACCTCTCCTATGAGGACAGGCTGAGAGAGTTGGGGTTGTTCAGCCTGGAGAAAAGGCAGCTCTGGGGAGACCTTACAGCAGCCTTCCAGTACCTGAAGGGGCCTACAGGAACGATCGTGAGGGACTGTTTACAAGGGCATGGAGTGACAGGACAAGGGGTAATGGGTTTAAGCTGAAGGAGGGTGGATTTAGATTAGATGTTAGAAAGAAATTCTTTACTGTCAGAGTGGTGAGGCACTGGCACAGGTTGCCCAGCACGGCTGTGGAGGCCCCATCCCTGGAAGTGTTTAAGACCAGGTTGGATGGGGCTTTGGGCAACGTGGTCTAGTGGAGGGGGTCCCTGCCTGCAGCAGGGGGGGTGGAACTAGATGATCTTTGAGGTCCCTTCCAACCCAAACCATTCTATGATTCTATGAACATTAATTTTCTATGTGCCTTAAAAGAACCGAAGGACCACAAAATCAGAAGGGAGATGTAACTGACTCGAAAAAACAGCATTTAAGGAGGGAATGTTAGTCTGGATTAAATTTTCTTGGCTTGCAGAACAGGTGCTTGTGGGAGTTTGTGTTCTTAGTGTTTGTGTCAGTGAGGGTGGCCACTGTATAATGGGCATGAGGGATGGGATGGTATTTAGATAGGTGTGCAGACAATCTTTTTCCCATTTCAGCTGTTACTGGAGCTATGATGGTAGCTCACCTGTGTCTCAACTCATGACACAGTTTATTCACAAGGCAGGTAATTTGCATGTGAATAAAGAGTTGCATTTGTTCTTCTGTCATGCTTACTAAAGATGCCTGTTGAGTTTCCTGTTGTAGCTCTAAAGATAATATCAGTGACTATATAAAGTTTAAAGTATATGGTGACTTAGTAGTTTACAGAATATTTCAACTTTTTAGTGGGTGGTTACTGTTCTTCAGTTTGTGTCATGTTTCAAATACAGTTCATAGGTTGCAGCAGAACAAAATATTGAACTGAAAGAGGGCAAATATCACTTAATGGCAAGCTTGCAGTTTAATCTGCTCTTAGAAATCTGTAAATCTTCATTCTTTGGAAGGTTTTTTCAGCTGGGCGACTTGGCAATAGAAGGTTCAGTTCTGCTGGCTTTGAGTTAGTTGTGTGTAACTGGCTTGCAAAGTCACTTTGCTATATTATTTGTGCTTGACTTTACCTTGTAAGAGGGAATGGAGGCCACAGGAACGCTCTGTCTTCCTAGGCATGGTTTTAATATGGGGTTACTTTTTCATCTTGCTTTTTAAGCATGCTAATAAGATTTAACTTCTCAAAGTACACTTGTTTTAAGGAGTAGTGATGAGGTAGTGTTGCAACCATTAAGACAGCCCTGCAGGGAGTGCTCAGAAGTTTAAGTGAAATTACCCTATCACAGCGAGGCTGGACCTCTTTGAGTTTTAAAGTTGTTTTTTTCCCCAGATAGCCTCATTTGTGATAGTGAAATTAAAAGATTGCAGTAGTGCAAGGTGAAGAGCTTGCTTCTGGCACCTTTCTGTTCTGAGTAATTTTGCAATTGGGTGAGGAGTCCTGTGAAAGCCGCAGTGGTGGGAGGAGGCAGAAAGTGGTCAACTGACCTCAGGAGGAGTTGCAGGGGTGATGTGTCTTGGGTTGCAGCACTGCTCTATGCCTTCCAGCCTCTACTTGGGAAGGCCTAGGAAATAAAAGGACATGCCTTAATCGCCTGTCTCTGGTGTTTGCTTCTTTGTCTTGACTTGAAGGTTTTTTGGGGGTAGTTCAAGAATTGCTTCTCTACCAGGACATGGCTACTTCAGTGAACTGAAGGATTGCATGGCTGCTCTGTCAAAGCCTTTTAGGTTGCATGTGAGCTCACTGTCTCAGATGATTTGAAAGGAGAGAGTAAAATAGCTTTTAGCTGCTGTCATCTTATCTTCTAATGCTCTGTAGCTTTGTGTGTAACTCTTAAGGGTCTTTGGAGGAAAAAACCCAACTTTTTGCTCATGCTGTAGGAGATGTAGTATTTTTGCCCTGAACGTGATGATGAAAGGCAAAAATTCTCTTAACCTCTAGACAAGAATTCTGAGCTTGCTTTTGAAAAGTAAGAGAAGACTCAGGCTGGCATAAGATTTTTCTTGGCTCTTGCAATGTATGTTGTTTTTCAGGAACACCTAAAACATCAAGGCTGTGCCAGGAAGAGGAAAGAATCCACCACCAGGTGGTTTCCTGACCCAGAGAGGAAAAGTCTGGGAAGAGACAAGAGTAGGAAGGAAGGGCTGTAGACTGCTGATTGCTCCAGCATGGGTGGAGCTACAATGTAAAAAAGAGTTGTCCGGGGGTGGGAAAAATGTTCTCTGTAAGAGTAACATTTTGTGCTTACAAAAACTGAGTGCAATAGGAATGCATTCTCACTGCTTCTCATCAGACCTTAAGGCAGGCTGACCCCCAATCACTTTCTGTGCAAGGGTTGTCTTGCAAGAATTAGGTTTAGCTACAACCTAGGTTTGAGAAACAAATTAAACCTGTTTTCTCAGCGAGTAGAGTAATTCGAAGAGCATAGTCAAAGGAATTCAAAGTGTGGTTGGGAACGGATAAAATTAAGGCGAAGAGGTCTTGTGCACGGTGTCTGTGAGTTGGCGTCAGTATTGTATCTCTCCTGAGTAGAGCTTACAGCTTGATGCCATATGTTAATGTTGTGGATTTTTCAGTTCTAAAGCAGGAAATGACCAAATGCTGGTTACTAGTTTGTTTCCTGTTCAATGGGGTACAGTTGAGTGGCTTTGTGTATGTTTCCATCTCACTTTTCATGCAGTATATGGCTTAAATGACTCTACAGCATAAAGTATGTTGGATAGTCCAGTTTGTTATTGCTCACACATCATCCGGATCCTGGTGAAAGGTGATTTTTCAAAGTATGTCCCTTGAAATTGCTGGCTTGCTCACTCTCACCCTGAGAAGACATTCAGTTAGCATTTTTTGTTCTCACTGCCTGTTCTCCCATTTGTGTGGCCAGTTAGTTCAGTGATCTGATGAAGATTAAACCTTTTCTTTGTGTTCAGGCCAGATCAGTTCCCTGGTCTGCCTCTTAGCAGTCACTTGAATGCCTCTGCAAGAGTGTTAAAGAGAGGGTATTTTCCTGGTGCTAATTCTTTGTAGAACTCTACTGGGTATGCTCAATCATGCTGACTTCTGAGATAGTTTTATCACCGTGGTGTTTTACTTCAAAGTATCTCATTGAAAACTATTGTATCTTGCACATGGTATTTAAAGTGAAGAAATTTCATTTGGTTAAATAACTACCCTTTTACTTCCTTGCAAATTGGTTTTCTTGATAATTGTGGCTGTAAATGTAGTGGCTGATGGCTTGTTCTTCTGCAAGTACATCATACTTCACTCTTTTTTTGGCTAAAGAAACCTAGTGTATGTAGTTTGGCTGCTTCTAGTGAGAATTATGAATCACCTGTGTCTTAGCTGAATTAAGTTTTAGATTTATCTATATTGATTCAATGAGACTAAGTTTATTTTTCTGCTGAAACTGTTTTACTTGTAGATAGTTTGCATAGGTGCTCATGGGAATAGCTTTGCAAAAATAGTGTAGTTTTGTGAAACTGAACACTTTATAAAAACATGTGAACAATGTTTGTGTTTAGAGGCAAGAATGAAGCCTGCTAATGAAAAATTACTTCATCAAGAATCTACTACAATTTAATTAAAATGGTAATGATAATGAAAGGCAATGGTAATTATAATTAAAGGCAGCCAGTCTGAAGAGGACACCCTACTTGTATATTCAATAGCACAGTATTAGTGTTACACTAACATTAGTTTGTATACAGAGTGTGGAAGATATGTCTTCCAAATTCTTTTTTTTCCTCATTTCATTAGAAAAAGTTCCCAAATATCTAGCTGTCTACTATGTAATTTACCCTGATTGCTGGAAGTTATACCACCTGTCTTCACCTGACTCCCAGCTTTCCTGGAGTGTTTGGAATGAGAAAGGGTGAATGATGCATCATTTGCATGCACTGTGTAACTTAATGACATAAATGTTTGATTACTGATTTTTTTCTATTTTGCTTCTTCATCTGAAAATCACTGGCTTAAGATGGAGGGTAATCTGGGTCAATATTTTGTTTATATCCATGTGGGTTTTAATAGTATCTTTCAAGTTGTGCTTTTAGCCAAATCATCACTTTAAATGTACTTGGCTTGTTCAGTCTGAGATGAGTAGTCATTGTGCTGTTACTTAATAAGCAGCATCTGGAAATTCAATTTATTTAGCACTGCTTTGCCTAGTTTTAACTCTTTCCATGTATTAGATCAACCAAGCAAATCCCATACTGTGTGCTTAAGCCTTAAAATGTGGCATATAATACTTCATGCCTAGACAGAGGTATCTAACATCATTTGACTAATTTTTACAGAATGACATGAATGATACTTGCAGCCCTTTTTGGCTTTCCTTTCCCTTGTTCCTGCAAGCAGAGTAAACCCAGAACAACTCCTTTGTCCTGAGTGCAGTTTAGTGAACCCAGCAGTACTTAAAATACACGCATATATTTTATTGTGTGACTGTAAGAGGGTCCCATTTTTGCTTCTTGCCTGTGCTGTGGGGAATTGCCTGTAATGCCTGTTTAGTTCATGGGAGGTGCTGCATTTCCTAGAGGAAAGGACACCTTTGTTGAGGTGTCTTTTCAGTTGTTGTCAATATGCGTAAGGCTTGTGGGGGGAGCAACCTCAGTTCTTCATATACAACCATAGAATCATTTAGGTTGGGAAAGACCTTTAAGATCATCAAGGCCAACTGTTAACCTAGCAGTGCCAAGTCCAACCACTAAGCCATGTCCCCAAGCACCACATCTACGTGTGTTTTCAATACCTCCAGGGATGGCGACTCCACCACTTCCCTGGGCAGCCTGCTCCAATGCTTGACAACCCTTTCGGTGAAGAATTTTTCCCCTAATACCCAATCTAAACCTCCCCTGGTACAACTTGAGGCTGTTTCTTCTTGTCCTATTGCTTGTTACTTGGGAGAAGAGACCAACACCCACCTGGCTACAGCCTCCCTTCAGGTAGCTGTAGAGAGCAATAAGGTCTCCCCTCAGCCTCCTCTTCTCCAGGCTAAACAACCCCAGTTCCCTCAGCTGCTCCTCATAAGACTGGTGCTCTAGAGCCTTCACCAGCTTCATTGCTCTTCTTGGGACATGCTCCAGCACCTCAATGTCTTTTTTTAAGGTTACATGGACATAGCAGGGTAGAATGCCATTTAAGTAATGAAAGGGAGCTGCCTTCAGTTTATAGAGAAGTCATTTTAGTTTGATTACTGAAATTGGATATTAAAGACAAACTGCCTGAGAATGGAATAAAAGACTAGAGCAAGGATCTCTTGCTTCATTTTGATGAATATAATTCAGGAATATTTATTATACAACCATATGAATTGGTGTAGGGTTTGTACATTGTCAATTAGATTTGTTGCTTATTGAAAGTAAGTAGATGGACCATTACTTCAGCTTAATTCAAAAGGGCTTAAACAAGGTAAAGATTCAAAAGACAAACTGTATCTAATTAGAGAGGAGGCTAATATAATGAGCCTTGACACTGAGAAGTTATGAAGAGTCAAGCTTGGCTACTGTCTGGAGGGTGGTACTATAAAATGACAAAACAGGGAATAATGTCAAAATGCATTAAATAATCTGAAATTAGTGTGCAGGCGATGTCCCATTACTATTATCTGAGATTACAGACAATATTTGTTTTACTTAAGCATCAGTGCTGTTGGCTAAGTGTTTGAGAATGTGTTGCTTAGTATATCTAATTCATCTTTTTCTTTTTGTTTTAGCTAGCTGGGGTGGCCTTCCTTGCAGCTGGTCTGTGGGCATGGAGTGAAAAGGTAAGGGTAGAAATGACTGGTCTTACTTGTTTGGTGGCTCCTGTCTTCAGCCACCAGCCCCAGTAAAACTACTTCCTCAGAAAGCAGCAGATGTTAAATGTAGCATCTGAGCTCAGGACCATGTTCAAATGATCTAAACTGAGTTTAGTTGGAGTTTTGTTCTTGTCCCTGATCAGATGTTAAGCTGTGGCCCTTCATGTTTACACTTTTTTGTAAACTTGTAAGAGCAGGATGCTAGGGAGAATTTAATCTTTATAATAGTCTTTATGAACTGATTCTCTTTTGAAAGCATGTTTTTTAAATACACTTACCTACCCACCTCTTTTTATTAGAAACAAGAAACATTTGGGAAGAATGTAGAAGATATCTCTTTTGATATTCAATTCAAACCAATGTGTATTTGGGACCATCTTTCTGAAGCATTCCAGTCTTCAGATCATCTGTTGTCTTCCACTTTAATCCTCATGGAGTTGCTTAAGTGATGGTGCCTCTGTGTAGAACAACAGAATTAGGGAACATGATCTAGCTGAATAACACTCTTATTTTTGGCAAAGTTCTTTCAGCTCAGTAACTTCCTCAGAGGAAGTCTGTGTGGGCATGTACCTACAGAGTTCTACTGTTATAACAGAAGAGATAGTATAGGTATGGAAATGAATGGCTCACCCCCTTGTTATGAATGTAAAAGCACGACTTCAAAATGACTGCAAGCAGTAGGAAAAAGTGACTATTACTAGCAGATTTACTGATCTGCATCTTAAGTGGAGGGCAGATGCCCTCACTGTTCAGTTGTGCTGCTGAGTAGGAACACTTTAATGACCATCGTAGTGTAACATTTCCTAACTGGAGTGCTTATGCAGAGCACCTGCTTGCCTACAGAGAGGTTCTGGGATTCCTCCGTTTCTCAGAAGTGAAAGAGTTTTGTGATAATTGTAATGCTGAGATATTTATTCTCCTTTTTCCTGCTGCATATGCATGCGCACGCATTATCACAACTAGATCGATCGTATCACTGGTATATAGTGAGCAGCCTGTCTCCACACAAATACATTTACCTCCTGTTCTGTTGAAAGGGTTTTCTTTCCAACTCTTTAGGGGAGGGTATTAAACTTGTCTTGAATTTGTATTCTCTCATGTTCAGACATTGTCTTCTATCAAGAAGCACGTAGGATTTGTGTGGTTGGAAATTACTAGCTTACAATTACCTCCATTTGCCAAATGGACTGCTGTGCTGCAGTGGTAAACCCAAAGATAAACTACAGGTGGTAGAAGAGTTTTGAACATCCTGTCTCTTAGAGCAGCATGAAGTACATTGGATCCCTTTAACTTCTCTGTTTTTTCTTGTATTTTTCTTTTTTCATTAGGACTTCATATTGATTCCTTAGCAGTCTTTTCTGGATATAAATCCTGTGCATCTCTGTTAGCAGATGATATATTGAAATGAGGATGCTGGTTTGAGAAATGTTGAAAATACTAACATGTAAAAAATGTTACCCATCCTGATTTGTTACCTGTTTGAGTCAAATCCAGTCTCTTTAACTGGTGTATCTAATTGGCCTATCCTTATGATCTTATAACTGAGTTTTGTTATTCTGAACAGTGATATAAAAGTTCAATTGCATAAATTTTTGTCTCCACAAAAACTGATAGACGTTAGTATCTGTCACCTGAGATATTGCAAAAATCCCTAAGAGAAAGTGAATTATAATAGACTGTTAACAGAAGCAAGGTGAATAACACTGAGCCCTCTCATTGGGAAAACAGTTTTGATTGGTAAAAGCATTTCAAGGACACAAAGGAAGGTCCGGGAAACTAGAGGCTGGTCAGCCTAACTTCATTTCAGCAAGTTCATGGCTAATAACAAATGGAGAGAGAGCAGTCAGTCTGCTTCAAAGCAAGGCTGTTATTTAGAGGGACTTAAAGAGCATGGAGAAATGGGTTGACAGGAACCTTATGAAAGTTTATTTGGAAAAAAAAGAGGCCAATGCAAAATCCTGTGCTGGAGATGGAGTAACCCCACGCATCAGTAGGGGCTGGGGGTTGACTGCCTAGAAAGCAGCTTTGTGAGGGGGAAAAAACGTTTAAGCTCCTGTTGATCATTAAGTTGAATATGAGGTGTGTCTCATGTCAAGACCAACAGAATGCTGGGCTACATTAGCACCAATGTGGTTGAGGTAGGAGCTTTTTCCAATAATATTCATCGCACTTGAGGCTGCATTAGTGTGTTGGTTTTTTTAAAAGACACAATCCACGTTTGCCCTCTTGCCAACACATTTAAATTGAGATGGTGACGCAATGCTTACAAACATTAAAAGAAAGTGGACAACAAGTTAAGCATGTACAGTTGAACTTTTAATTCACTGTTTTAAGTGGCTGAAAGGAAGACTTAAAGGCTGAGTTTTACTCTTGGATTTTTTGACACTGACTTCAGGTATCAGGCTTCATTTCTTTATACCTGTAGGTATAAAGGCGCTGTTGTAAAGGGCAGCCTGTGCTTCAAAGAGCTTTTATGATCCTGCAGACGGCAGAGGCAGAAGCATCCTTAGAGATGAGTAAGTGAAATGAGATAGTCCCCTGAATTAATTCTCATTTATATCCTTCCTTCAGGATTTTTCACTTAACATCTTTTGTTATGCAAAAAACCCCCCCCACAATATTCTTTTCAATGTTGTAAACATCAAATGTGAAATGAAGAAATTGTTGTGAACTAGCAACATCTGAGGGTGAATAATAGAGCCCAGTTCCTGCCAACTTTTTTTCATAACATGCTTTGATCAGAGGAAGTTTTCTTCCAAAAGATGTTGCTTGAGCAAGTGAGATTGTCTGTGAAGAAAAAAAAAAAAGCTTTAGTTTGGGTGTGGGAAGGAGATAGCTGGAATTACTTGTGAAAGTTTCAACATCCTGGTCCCACAGTGTTTGGTTTCATAGTGTGTTGGTTCTACAAAGATACTGAATTAGCCTAGCTAATCTTGGCATGTCTTTCTTGATTGTGGGGTCTGAGCCAAGGTTTGATTAGGTGGGACTCTAATTAACCTAGTAGATCAAGTCTGATAGTTAGCTGTGAGGTCTTACAGTTTGTAAGAATGGAAGTGTCACTGGTAACACTAACTAGAAAAGTCTTTGCTTCCCAAGACTGAATGCTGGGAAATCTATAAACCATGACCACTGATTAATAGACTATTTCAACTGTTAGTCACCAGCTGTTGCAGGGCAGTTCTGAGTTCTGCAGTTCAATTATTTTTTTCTTGTCATGTCTTCAACCAGTTTTGGTAAAAACAACTCTGTTGTCTTGCTGTTGCCAAATTAACAGCTCTAAAAAGAACTGTTATGGAACACATTATGAAAGAAGATGAACTTCTGTATATTAGAATAGTACTGTTAGGGTCTCTTTGTCAGCTGATGAGGTTTCTTGATGTATTTTCTTCTAATGCTGTTTTCTGAATACATTATTTCTAAGTAAGCATTTAAATACAAAGTGGTACAGATTATTCTGAAGTATTGTCTTAGGATGTATATTCTTTGCACTTTAGCACAAACGTGAGTAGCAAGATGAGACTTTACATTCCTTTGACAGAATTAGAGTGCTTATATGAATTACTTTGAGTCTCTCTGATATCTTTCTCTTACACTAAATGTAGTGAGCTCGAATGTACTTTCTAAAGAAAAAACTCCAAAAAATAAACATGTAGTTATGGGATATTGCATTGTGATTTTTGTTATTTCTCTGCTTTAAAGAGAAAGTATTTCCTTATTAAAATGTTCTATGTATTGCTTATGAGTGTATGATGAACACTCAGACTATTGCAAGGCTGCCTGTATGTCCCTACAAATTCTTCTTGTTAAGAGTTTCAGCTGTTTGTCCCTTCTGTCTCCTGCATGTTGCATCTTGTTCTTGCACATTAAATGAAAAGCTTGTGTTTATGTGTTTGATGGAATTTTAATGGTAGCTGGTATATAAACTTAATCTCTTTAAAACCTAATCGAGAAATAAGGTCGTCACTGTGTTAGCATTACATTTACATAGAAGTAGAAATTCTGTCCTAAGATATAGGCAGACAGGCTTCACAGGTAAGATAACTGTCAAGATAAGTGGTGTCTCTGGATAAGTTAACAAAAAAAAATTTCTGCTAAATTAGGCAAATTGCAGGTATCTTATAGGGAATAGATAACTTATTTTGGAGTAAGAATTTGATCTGGGGTGAAAGGGCAATATTTAAACTATAGTTCTATTTTTTGCAATATTTTGGAGGACCATTCCTAAGACTATTCAGCACTAGAAAAGGTATAACTAAAATATTGAGAGCAAGAATCTCCTTCCCTTGAAAACCAAAACAAGACGTTGTGCCTCTCCCTTAAAATGTTACCCATAACCTGCTTTGAAGTTAGTATATTTCTCCTGTTCTGCCACCTAAATGTTAGGATTGGAAAAATTATTTTCTTAATTGTTTTAAAGACTTTGATATTGGCATGCCCTTCTGATTGATGCATTTCAAGTTAATATAAAGCATTAGTTGTTTTGCCTTGAAACTAAATGAATATTCAGTGATAGTATTGAGCTTTTGGCACCATCTTGTGGAAGCTTGCTTGGCAGATAGACCTAGGAGAAGAATGTGGTCTGAGTAGACAACTGCACTGAATTTACTTATTCAAACAATTAATAGCTATAATTTTGCATTAATACTTCCTCTGCTAGGGTAAAGAAAATTGGTATTGTCAATAACATACAACAAGACTTTTCCACGTAGGTAGCTGTTGGAAAGCTCAAGGGTTTGCAACCAATTCATTTGGAATTGTGGAAATCATGGGCATTCAGAAGGAATGTTAAAAGAAACATGCTTATAGTGGTCACCTCTTCCTGTTACTCTGTTTTTCTCTGTCAGGGTGTACTGTCTGATCTGACGAAGGTGACTGGTCTTCATGGTCTGGACCCAGTGGTGCTTGTCTTAATGGTGGGAATAGTGATGTTTACTCTGGGATTTGCTGGTTGTGTAGGAGCACTGAGAGAAAACATCTGCCTTCTGAAGTTTGTAAGTGATGTCATTATAGAAGTGGATTATTATACATGTGAAAGCTGGGAATGATGGGTGAAGAACTAGTAGCAAACCCAGATTAAATTATAGAATTTGGTTTGGTACAATGTATATGGCAAACTTACTCCCCTGACAAGCCTCTGAGTAATGGTATTAAAAGCAGTGTAGATTCAAAACTATGTATATATTTCCCCGTTCTGGAAAACATTTCTTCCCTTTTTCATTCATTCTGCTGTATAGTGATGTTGTTATAGTATGTATACCAGAGTCTAACGTTGTGTGTGTAATATCACAAAATGTGATGTTCTGGAACATATTTAGTCAGGAATTACTGAGAGGAGCTGGTATAGTGGCTTAGGGAGAACAAAATCCCTTAACTAAATGTTTGATGGGCAAAACTTGGGGACTTTGAGTGTGAAATCTCATAAACAGTTGTTTTTATGCTGAGGCTTCTTTGCTTTACATCTGAAAACAATTAAGCTGGACAAAAAGAAAAATAAAACTGAAACAACCCAAGAAGTAATATCAAGACTGCTTTAGCCCTGTGCCTTTCAGATTCTCATTTATTATGTTCACTGCTGTGCATAATGACTTGTGGTGTGGTGCTCATTCTACTGTTGGGTTCAGGTGACCAAACCAAAAAGATAACTACCTCTTGGAGGTTTCTTTATGTTGTATTCTTATTTAGCATACTGTGTTTTCATGGTATCTGTGCTGAGGGAGAATTTTAACCTAGTTCTCTTTGTCTGTTTCTGGTGGAGTTGGAGTAGGGATGCATTCAAAATGAATGGATATTTTATAATTTGGGATTTTTTTTTTTACAGTTTTGTGGAGCAA